TTTTTCTCAGGATAAATAACACGTACCCTGACTGTTCTACTCTTTGAATAAAACCACTTCATTCAAGCGTTAGGGAGTGCAAAGGGTTATGATGGAGGGGTGTTGCAAATCATGAGGACCTGCCAAGTGGTATGATAGCAGTGTTTTATACATGTCCTTGGCTAGGCCTCAGTTTCAAAATCAGTCCTTGGTCCTTGGCCTTGGCCTCGGAAGCAAGTCCTTGGTCCTTGGCCTCGGAAAATTTTTCAAGTCCTTGGCCTTGGCCTTGCCTCGGAAAATTTTCCAAGTCCTTGGCCTTGGCCTCGGAGGCAAGTCCTTGGCCTTGGCCTTGGGTTGCCGGTCCTTGGACACAACACTGCTGCCTGCACACAGGCAGTCCAGCCTCTTTGCGCTGTCACTATCTGTCATGATCATTGCCTAGTAATGTGCTCACTGCACACTAAATACCAGGCAGGCTGCACCATGGGTTTTGAAGATGTACATTTACAGCACTTTATAGCCTATTTAAGTATTGTAAATGTATCCCCAGACAGGCTTTGTTTAATTTACAGCACTTTATATGCATACAGTACAGTGGTCCAGGTCTATCTGCACAAGTTCAAGCATTAAGTGTTTCATAATTGTTAAGTGTGAAAGTACAAATCTTTGTTGAATTTATAGCACTTTTAATAGCCTATAGGCTAAGATCAGGTTCAGACTCCTTGAGTCTATTAAAAAAATAACTATGTTCATTGCTAATAATGCACTCTAAACTTGAAGTACATCGAAATGCTTTCGTGACTTCTCCTCCCTTACTGACCACCAAGTGATCCCAGGTCTCAAAGGCTAATATGACATGTTAAATAATGTCAATTAAAACAAAGTATTTTGTTTTGTCATTAAAAAAATAAATAAATAAAAATACACATGATTCTCTGCATTTCAGGGTTTTGGAGAGCCAAACCCTCAAATTACTTTCGCCCATGTGGTTTTGTTGCAACGCTGTGGGGAGTGTCCCTTATTTCCAGATTTGAAAGGTGGCAACTCTACTGACATTTAGCTTTAACCGTCATTTAAAGCCAGACACACCAGTGAGCTCTCTCATGAGCTGAGGGCAATGAAAGACCTCAAACGCATCTGGGCTAAAATGACGAGAGGACAGCCGCAGGTCTTTGGGCAGGTGGACTCTTCCAGCCGTATCCTACCACATTTTCTTAACTTTCTTTAGGAAAGCTATGGTGTCTTACATGGCCTCCTTTATTCCCGCTTCATTGAAAATTACAACCAAAAGCCACAAAGTGTAGCCTTTTGACTGCTTTTCACTGATGTTAGTAGTACTCTGAAATTGTTTTGCTTTGCACGGCACAGGACAGCAACCATAAAATGTCATCATTCCAGAATGAACTGAATGCGCAAAAACATGGCAGCTGCTGTGTATCAAATTATGTTGTCAATCGACTACATTTTTTTTTTAACTTACAAAAAATACATTTTTTTTTAACTTACCAAAAATTATATATTTCTAACAATGTGTTTTATTAGTGGAGCTCAGCTGTTGTATTTTGAGACCTGTTTGTCGGTTCCTTTTAAATCTTCCGGTGTTAACTCTGTGCCGCTTCTGTGTCAGCAATACCCGAGTCATCAAAGGTGCTGTAATCACCAAATAAAGTAAATAATGACTTTTTGGGGGGGTTTTGCACATTTGTTTGTACACTCACCAGTGAGACGGTGAGAGATGTGTGAAGCTCTCAGTCGGTTCAGTACTATCAATATCTAAAAACATAGGGTGTACCACACCTACTGCTTAGCTCAACTGGGATAGGCTCCAGCACACCCGTGACCCTCGTGAGGTTAAGCAGCTCAGATAATGCATCGATGTAAGAAAGCTAGGATAGTAAGAATTAAGAGGATTAGTGTGGGTTTTCGTCTTAACCTTGTAACCATTGTAAAGGTATATTTTGTTTTATGCTTCTTTTATAGTATTCCATCTTGGTGTTTTATTGACAGACATACACCTGTACTTCATATTTGAAAAATATGTGCTTCTATAGGTAAAACACTAGACAGAGTAGAAAAAAGTGAGATCAGTTTGAGATTCAGCATATAGAACTTTGTTAATAACGATTATCGGGCCCGAGTCAACACAAATTGGCTCTAAGAATTACCCGGGCTGATAACACTGGGGAGCACAATTAGAATTGAATATTTACCAAGACCACAGTATAATATGACAGTGAAACTCCTCTACAACGAAACCTACATGGGTGAAAATACTCACTAATGTGAAAAAACATACATGGCAATGGCGAGTGATGAAAAAAGCGGAAGGGGCGTGGCCTGGACGGGGGCGTGGCCTGGACGGGGGCGTGGTTACTTACAAAAGTGGCACTAAACATGCTGAAGATGAAGTGTATTAAATTTACACAGTTTGAAAATTGAACAGAAAAAAATCCCAAGATCGCCACTATTCTTTCAAGTGAAAATTTGTGCAATTTTGCCTATGCATTCCTGGTGAGCACCAATATGTAACTCCAAATTTGCTGCTCAAAATCAAAACTAAATATAGTAAACACATTCCCTGCCATATTTAAGATTTGTTCATGACTTGTATTCATAAAGTGTTGTGTAAATGTGATAAAAAGCTGTTGATTCTTACCTCATACAGTGATAGTGAATATTTATTATGCATACAATTTATTATGCATAACCGTGCTTTATCATCCAAGACAAAACGTGAATTATCAATATGAATATAAAACGCAAATAAAAACAAATAAATGTTATCATGCTGTTGCTACAAATGCATACCAAATAAAAGTGAAAATATCATCCTCGTATATTTGAATAAAAAAGTATATACCTCGGAGTGTACCTGTCTATCGGCGATTTTATTGATTGTTAAATGTGTGAATGGTAACCTCACTTAACTCTGGTTAGTAAACATAACGCTAAAACTGATACCCTGAACTGCAAACTTGATAAGGTTTTACTGTTCAAAACTACACAGTGACAAGCTGAACCAAACTCAAATGCTAGGATGGAATCGCTATTACTTACAGACTGTACTCGGTTGGAAGTCCGCAGGTGGCTCGGTGTCGGCTGTAGAAGCGGTTCTCCAAGTCAATCCGGGTCTCCCCTATCAGGTCGTCCCCTCCCACCATATCATAGTCGTAGATGAGCACCGTGAGCAGAGACTCCTGAGGAAATGTCGCCTGCATCTCAAACGACCTGCGATAAGGTAGAACATATCAACCGGTGTGTGTTTTAGACAGCAAAACTGTCATGGTGGAGAATACAACCTTCCAAAGACGGGGTTCAGCTGTTTAGGGATGTAGTTCTCACGGTCTTTGATTTCATTTTTGCCGAGTTGAATGACGACGTAAGGGTCTGCTTTTCCGTCCGGGTCGGCTGGGTGCAGGTTTGATGCCTTCAGCGACAGCGCAATCAAGAACAGTACAACAACAAGGAGATCACAAAACAATACATTGAAACTCCTCTAAAACGAAACCTACTTGGGTGAAAATAGCCCCTAGTATGAAAAAATCTTCATGCATTAAAACCATTCCCACTTTTCTGCTCCCCCTACAACGAAAAATCCCCCTGTGGCATTATACGAAATCTTTTTCTCTGCCCTTGCCTCACAAAGAGATTCACTACAGTACAACGAAAACAAGCCTTCCGTAAAAGTCTGATCCAACCTCAGCCTACTGCGACTCCTACTGCTTAGCTCGGAAACGGCAACAGCAAACACCACAGTGGCTTACACTTGCGCAATAGTACAGGAAGTAGTTGTTATTGATAGTTTCAGACGCAGCATGAACGTTGCATTGCTAAAATGGCTAAAAAAACGGACTTTTGCCAACCAAGAAGTGAAGAAAAGAAAAGCTTTAACGCTTGAAGACAGGATGAAAGTAATAAAAATGAAAGATGGAGGAAGCAAAGTAAAAGACATTATGCAAGAAATTGATGTAAGTGAAAGTGAAGGCTGATCGTAAATTTCGCAATTTCTTTCCTTTTTTTTCTTTCTATGCTGGCTAGATGAAGTGTCAAATAAGTGTATGCTCATACTTATGCACTATTGAAATAAAAATAAAGAGTACACATATGTTTGTATATATGTGTGTGTGTGTGTGTGTGTATTCGAATCTGAGATAAATTTGCTAGTGAAAAGTCCCCTGATGTGAAAAATTTCTTGCTGCAAACATGATTTCGTTGTCGAGGAATTTCACTGTATGTGGTATTTCCCATCAACAGTTTCCATTTTCTAGACTTTCTATACCAGACCTGGGATTTCTTTCAAATCAAATTCCATACTTTCCACACTTGTGTAGGAACCCTGTATACACGAGCAGACTGCACCAATGAGCATCTTTCACTGCCCAGTCTTTACTCATTGTAAGGAGGAGGAAGAAGAGACAAGATGTTTCTTTCATAGTTAATACAGTAACTGCACTGTATTTAGTAAGGCTTCCTCAATTATCCTCATGCCGTTACTTGTCAAAAAGTCCACCAAAATAGTAGTGAATCTCTCACAAGCCTTTCTCATATTGGAAATGCTCCCTGACGTCACAACAACGCAGCTCTTAAATAGAAGAGGTTTTAAATCGAGGTGACTTGCCATTGTAGGCAGATATTAGCACTGCCCCAACAACGCTCCATTCTGTGCTCCCTGCCCCTCACCACATACACAATAAATGAGGTTGACGGTGCCGCTGCAAAGTTTAGTGAATAGGGCTTGAAGAGCCGAATGAAACGAGGCATAGACGTATGCGGCTTAAGAGCCGCGGGTTGGCCAGCCCTGCTTCTATTCCATCCATCTTGACCATTCAGGTTTGCACAGCATTCATCCGTGGACAATCTCATGCTGCAACGGAGACTTCAGCATCATTGGCTGCTTTGGGCATAAACGGGGAAAAATTCTTGGTGTGGCCCCCACCGGTCCATGATCTCAACCCATCTCACCTTTGGAGCATTCTCAAGCAAAGATCTATATCACATCCAAAAAGCTCCCCTTATTTTTTTTAAAATATTTTTTGGGTGGGTTGGATGATTTTCTTTCCCAAGTTATACCCGTTTTTTCGTGGAAAACATTTTTGTAGAATGTTTATTAGCATTTTTAGAATTAGAATTTGGGGGATTTAAGTATTTCCCCCCCAGCCCCCGCAATGCATTTAAATGAGCAGTAATTGTACACGCATGTTTGCTTTTCACAGGCTCCTAACAACCCTGGTACTATAAAAAAAATAAATAAATAATAATAAGCATTCTCAATTGTTTTTGTACCTGCCATATCTGCTTGAGGTCGTTGGTAGAGCATGGTGAATTCATCAGGGTAATTTTCAACCCAGTTCCAAAATGCCTGTCAAGAAAAAGTTAAAGCAGATTGTGCACATGATGAACAAGAATCAGTTTATTTACTTTGTGTGTGAATTTTCCTGTGAGGATTTTTGGCAACCATTTCTACATGGGGTGTTAAAGTTCTGGGTTCCAACACATTTGAGATTTCAAAATTCCAGTTTTTCCAGACCCTAATTGCCGGACTTCGGGGTAAAAAGACTGGAAAAGGATTTCCTACTGATGATGAGTTCAGTCAAGGATCATAAATGATCAGATGCACATAGGTCAGTCAGGTTTGATGCCCAATTTTCAGGGAGTAATTGGACAATGGGGAGGAATGAACAAATATGCAGCATAGAATGCTCCCTGATAATTGTGAATGAGAATCCGTGAATATTTGTACATCATAGAGGTTTAACCTGCTTATACCATGAGCACTTACTAACAAAAATGAAATGAAACTACCAATTCATATTTTCATAGGTTTTATAGTCAAAATAGAAACCTTGACTAAAATAATTTCTTTTCCGTTGCGACGCCTTTGGGCTTGGCTATGAAGTCATTGCAATCCATTAACTGTAATAATGCATTACTGAAGTAGGTTCGTATAAAGTACAGTGTCTTCCAAGTTAATGTACAAATCTGGGTCGCCGGTGTAGGAACGGAGTTCCCATTAAAATAATTGTAATTATGGACCGTGGTTCTATTAGGTTGCAGTCCCAGGCTGGGTCCTTATGACCGTTTGCTTCAAGGCCAGAAGTGTTAAGTATTGATTTGATGTGTCAAAATGGAAATACAATATGTTCACATTGGTACAAAACTCAAGGGCACTTGCATTCATGAAACAAAAGAAGCTGTTACACCTACACAACAGCTCAACAGAACACAAAGGAACAACCTACCTTTTCTAAACTGTTGATGACTGCGAGCTGTGCAGGCTTTTTAAGCGTTTTAAACTTCAGAACAGTTTCTACAAGAAAATAGACATCAGAAAATCATCAAACTTGACACAATCCAGAGACCAATCATGCAAATCTTTAGCCTTAAAACCCTAGAGTGTATAACCTTGGAGCAGCCTCTTTAGCTTGGAACAGTCCACATTAATGTACTGCATCAGCTCGATGTCATGAACATCCACATTGTCCTCCAAGCACACCGTCAGCTCCTGTAGCCTGAGTAAAAGACACACGATCACATGCACGCACACACAAACGACCATGAAAAAATGTGACCATGTAATGTACACCCTGTCTCTTTCATGCATGTCAGAACATTTCAGAAGATAGTCAAAACCTGTAGTTATGATCGAGTCCCGACAAGCTGCACTGATCTACAAATCTGGTTTTGATTCAAGGTAATTTCTGTCATGATTTTTTTTTTTAATCAAGGATAATGTTAACTAAAACCCAGCCACTGGGGAGCAGTGCCCTCCCCTGGGAGTACACTGTTCCCCAGTGCCGGTCCCAAGCCCGGAAAAATGGGGAGGGTTGCGTCAGGAATGGCATCCGGCGTAAAACTTTTGCCAAACCGAACATGCGAGTTGATATGCGGAGGACAGGGAATGATGGAAATTGATGACTCGCTCTGGCGACCCCTTAAAAGGGACAAGCCAAAAGGAGAAGAAGAAGAATAATGTTAACTAAAGGTTTACGAGCATTTAATTCAATGCAGCACCGAAGGAGGATGCATATTTTAAATTGTATGTTACGGTATTACATTTAAAATTCAAAAAATCTACTCATGGCTCTTTTTCTAACCATCTATCCCTGGAAATCGGTGCTAAATCGTCTGATCATGAGGGCCTGGTGCTCCCAGATTAATCAACCTATTGTGAAGCTGCTCTCTTGCATTTAAACCAAGTGTTTGCGTGTTGTATGTGTTGTATGTGGTACAGTACTGCATTGAAGGTGCACAACTCTAAATTCAGACAGAAATATATAATAATAATCATCATCATAGTAATAATAATACAGTATATTGCATAAACACTGAAAAGTCCGCTTCAAACAACTGCTGCGGGAGCATGAAAGATGAACCCTGACATAGCGGGGGTTCACTGTAAAGAGACACAAACTCACCGTATGGCCACCATGGTCCACTGACATCAGATGCGGACAGCTGTATGCCACGAATTATCAATTCCCGAACAGTGAAATTTACACTGAAACAAGAGAAAAAATCTGACAAGGAGAACGTACCTGGTGGAAATTCGGCTGAAAACAGCATTGAAATTGTTGCAGCTAAGAGAGAATAGAACAGCTGAGGCTGAAGCTCGGAGTTCAGCTGCATGCTGATGGCCCTCACGGTACGTGTGGATGAAATGGCAAATCTCAGGCAATAGTTGTTTGACTAGCATGGTCTCATCCAGGCGCAGGGAGTCTTTGGATTGCTGAGAAAGGAGTACATGAGTGAGTGAGTACGCCTGTCAATATCTTTCCCTATAACACAAAAAAAATATATACATACTGTGTGTGTGTGTGTGTGTGTGTGTGTGTGTGTGTGTGTGTGTGTGTGTTTCATAGATAGATAGATCAAATTTTATTAAGGCCCCTGTATTATACCCAAACTCAATTATGGGTCACCACCAATTTGTGCACAGCCCTACGAAACTTGTACCATATTAAGTTCAAAGAAAGAAAATAATTGTATTTTAAAATAATAGTCAATGTACTGTAGTACCTTAACCGAGCAAAATCCTGAAGTTCAATAATAGAGACTTGGATTCGTTCTGCAAAAAAAACTTTCAATGAAATAAGAATTTATGTAGTCAGTTCAGTGCAATCCAATGTGTAGGTGGACGGGGAGTTGTGGTGACTGTCCTCTGCTTGCAAAATCAATCATTTATGCATTAAATTAGTAGATGACAACTCATTAATAAATTAGTAAAATTTTGAGACAGAGAAAGAGCGAGAGAGTGAGAGAGCGGCCCGGTGGTCGACTGGTAAGTGCCTCGGCCTCACACTGCAGAGATGGCAGGGTTCGATGACGACTACGGCTTTCCTGTATGGTGTTTGCATGTTCTCCCCGTGCCTGCGTGGGTTTTCTCTGGGTGCTCTGGTTTCCTCCCACATTTCAAAAACATGCACCGTTGGTTAATTGAACACTTTAAATTGTCCCTGGGTGTGATTGTGAGCGAGAATTCTTGTTCGTCTCTGTGTGCCCTGCGATTGGCTGGCAACCAGTTCAGGGCATCCCCCGCCTACTGCCCGAAGACAGCTGGGATAGACTCCAGCACCCCCCACGAGCTTCGTGAGGATAAGCAGATCAGAAAATGGATGGATAGATATATATCTTTTTTTTTCAATCAGTACTCTCCTGTTAGCTTGTAATTGATTTATACTCTGTGTTAGTGTGTCATCACAGTGTGAGACCATCATCAGGAAGTAGTGTGTGCAGACAGAGCAACCAGGACATGGTCACCATGAAATCTTTGCCTGCCGCTAAAAATAAAATATTGGTGTTGAGATCAAAAAGTTACTAATTAACAATTGACAGCTGAACATGATCAAATTCTTTTTATTTGTATGGATTCAAAAGTTACTATATATAGAGAAGATGGCAAGATTTGATGAGAAGGAACTCACCCCAGCCAGGCACTTTTCCAATGTATCCAGGATGATGAGCTGTGAGAGGTAGAGGTTTTTCTCCGATGCTTCTCCAAATATTCGCTATGGGATAAAGACAAAGAGTCAATAATTAGGAGCGGGGATGATGTAGACCCTGAAGAGTCTCCGCATTTGTATCCAATCAGCGTCCCATTCCTGTTTAGGGTCCCTTTATCATTACCACAATGAAAAACCAGAAAGGTCACAGAGAGACAGTGTGCCTGATATTTCTAAGACAGAGGCGGTGGACTTTCCATGCAGAAAATTACCATATTCATTTCAGTGGTTGTAGAGTCCAACAAGCAGATAAAACCCGTTATTTTGCATTGTTTAACATGTGTCAAAGTGGTTGCGCAAGGCAACTAACTATATTGTATGTTTTTCAAAGCATACCATCAAAAGGTGCCATTTTGGGATGATGAGTGCAGTCCGAAAATGCTTTTCAGATAAGCAGGGTTCTAAATCAGCAGCGGCCCAGTGGCCCCGGGCCACTAAGCGACTGTGTTGTGCCACTAAACCGAAAAAAAAACAGTACACATTTCAGAAATAAATATGCTGAAACCAAAACATTACTGCTTTTTTATTCACTGCTACTGCATACACTGCTTTTTTATTCACTTAAAGTGATTAATCATTATTGATCTTTTTACTTTGATGCAAACACTTTTTTGCATGTGTATCATGTTAAATTCTCCAACCCTAAGTAATGGTTTAAACAAAATATAAAGCCTGGAAAACATTAAATCTGAAATATTCATTTAGAGTTTACAAACATTTACCAAAAATTAACTACAGAGAAGTCATATTTTTTAAGACATAACCATTATCGTATGATATCATGAACATTCGGGGTGTAACGATCTATTTTATCTATATAGATGTGTCGGCCCCACAATCTCGCGACATTGATAGGCACTGGAATTGTGCACATTGATGCTGGCCACTCATCGACAAGAGAATTCTTTTGCGTTACTGATCGATTTAATCAATGCAATTAACAAATAAATGCAATACGCATAATTCCCAATGTCCTATTGTTTTTTATTAAGGTTTAAATGTTAATTTGAAAAGGCTTGTATTTGGTTTTTGCTTGCGTATGTCATGTACGGTCGGCGCCAGAAATTGACATCAAGCACGCAACATAGATCGAAAGAGATTAACAAATATCATGGTGGCGAGGGAGGGGGAGATTTTTAAGACCAAGCAATGCTAGGGTTTCTGTGGAAACACTAAAATTTGCAAGGAGATCATCTCGACAAGGCGGTTGCCGTGTATCGGCTTTGCAAACGGCAAGGGAAATGTAACGGGAACATGTCGTCACCATGGCATCACAAAAAAAAAAAAAAAAAAAAAAAAAAAAAAAATCCCTGAATGAATGAATCAGCCGTGGCTACCATACAAGGTATTGCAACATAAGGGGTGTTCACACAGCACACATTTGCTCTGGTGCTGCACCGATGTATTTTGTTGCGATATATTTTACACCGGAGCAAATTTTGTGGAGCGCTCACACGTACAAAGCCGCTGAGCGTGTTACCTCCGGCGTAGCGCCGGTGCGGCCCCACTTGCGGTCACACAGCAGTTTCTGCAGCAGAGCAAAACGATAGAAAACAAAAAGAGCTGTCGCGTTGGTTCTTTTTAAAACATACAACTCAAGCAACTGCTGTACAGGCACGTCCTTCTCCTTCTCGGTCTCCGTGCCTTCTGCTCGAGAGGCGTTCAGTGACCGCCCCCCGAAAACGTAAATCAACGATGACTTCAATGACACTCAGAAAAGCAAATATATAATGCGCCAAACAGAAAATCAACAGAGGAAATCACAAAATAAATTCTATGGGGGGCGGGGGGTTGTGAACACACAACAAAGGAACAAACTACACAAACATCTCCGAGACAGTCCAGTCTCCTACAAAAAGAAAGATGACGTTTGGGGACTACCCCCCCGCCCCCCGACCTTCGGGGCCTCGCCCCCCCCCGCCCCCCTGTTCTAGTTGAGATTGTATAACCCAAGAGGCAAGCTTGCTACTGTTACCAGCCATGTCTTGTGTCGTTATTAAACAAACACATGACGGAAGTACAACAGAGCACGAAAGCAACGCATTCTTGCCGTATGTAATCAACTCTTCTCATGCATAGCGAGGCTACTCACCCTTCCCGCAAACGAGCATTTGCTCCGGAGCAAATTGTAGCATTCACACGTACCATTTTACATCGGTGCTGCCCCGCAAACGAGCATTTGCTCCGGAGCAAATTTAACCCATCTCAGGGAGGTGGTTTAAAAATTAGTAAACTGTTTTCAGGGGTTACACCGGTGTAACCTTGCACGTGTGAACGCTCTACTGGCGCAGCACTGGCGTAGCACCGGAGCAAATGTTGCCGTGTGAACACCCCTATACCAAAAAGGTGTTGCTGCTTTATTTATTCAAAATCTTGACCACAAATCTCCTCGTGGTCAAAGAATTAGTGGCTGTGGAGCACGCAGAAGAAGTGTCTTGCTGCTGGATTGTGTAGACCAGCTGATATTTTTTGAAAAAGAATATGCAAGACGATTCAGGGTGTTCCCCGCCTACTGCCCGAAGACAGCTGGGATAGGCTCCAGCACCCCCAGCGACCCTAGTGAAGATCAAGCGGTTCGGAAGATGAATGAATGAATGAATGAATGAATGAATGAATGAATATGCAAGCCTTTGGAAAAACTGTTTACTATTACACACAGTTGTTATTTAAACAGAACTATCACAGCAGCAGCTATATTTAATGTGAAAATAGAGTTGTTGTTTTTTTTGTATATTATTTGGTTGCCACAAAAAGAGATTGTAGAATCAAGTATTGTTCAGATATATTAAGCACTTCATCAAAAGGGTTTGTTTAAATTGATGTTTTGATGCCTAAAAAGAACCATATTATTCTGATAACATAAATTTGTGAATAAAAAGTGAACTGATTCTGTTTCACTGTGTTTATGCGAGAATATTTAGAGAACTAGCTTGTTGTGACAGCAACGTTGCTTACTGGGATTGGTTTTAATATAAAATCCAATAAAATGGCATTCTATTGTCTTCATTTGGATTTATCTTGGATTAGCATAGCTTTATTTACACAAAAGCCATTGTTACAGGATCAAATATTGAATGGAAATCGTCTTTATCGCATCGAATTGTATCGGTCCAAAAAAGCGATACAGTATATCGCTTTGTTTTGAATCGCTAGGCCTAAAACCGTATTGTATCAGTTTAAAAAAAAAAATACAAAACACAAGGCCAACTCAACTTGGCTCATGTTGGCCGGACAAGGGCAGCACCCAAAAAGGCTTAATGTAGGACCCTGGTTAGGCTAAAACAAGAAATATGAATACAAAAATATGTATAATCTGGGCTGGAGACTTGAAAGTTTGTCTGGACCCCCTTCTATAAGATAAGGACAACAACTTACCATGTTATTGACATTTTTGAGGATAGTCGTGAGGCCACTAATGACGAGTGAAAACTTGTACTTTGAAATGTTGATCAAGCATTCCTTGTTGTGCTCTGTGCTGATTTTCGTGTGAGTGTTCTGGTGTCCAACTTTGATTGGAAGCTGGAGGGAAGGAAAAAACAGTGAAGACAAGAAGATGGCATTAACTTCAATTCACAAGGTCTGTCAAAGTCACATTTTCAAACCAGCATTTTCGATGAACGATTTGCCACCAGATTTTGTATTTCCACATTTCACCTGCAGCGTGGATTTCAAGATGTCAAGATGTTTTGAAATGGGAAATCTCTCTTTGAAAGTTCTGACCACTATTTATTCCTGTTGTACTGAGCAGCCCAGAGGGGTAGCCAACGTGGGGCTCTGTGATGCGGCCAAATAAATAAAAATAAAAATAATATAT